AAATATAGCCTCATATATTATATTAAAAGAACCAGAGCTGCAAAAGCAATGTACATATTAATGCAATTTACATTTATAGTGATACCCTGGGCTTCATACACCACAGACACCACATTAACTAAATTTGAGGGGTTACATTTTTGGCCTGTAAAAACATCAGTGACTGACATTTTTATGAGCCAGAAAAAAATTGGTTCTTCACATCTGAAAACCGCCAGCCAGTGTAACACGCCTCTTCAGAGGTTAAACCAATGAGCTTGCTCATTTAGAGAACTGCCTTACTTCCAACAATGCAGTAAAAAAACAAAAAAAAACAAAAACAAGATCCAGATGTGGAAAGCCCACTTAATGCAAAGTCATGCTGATCCCAAGTCATGCCAAAAAAACTGAGTTATGTAAGAATCAGACACCCTTTAACTCCGCCCCTCATTCACCCTCTGGCTTGTGTTTCTGCAGAACACATGGCAAAAGTTGGCCTTCGAGGATTTTTGCTCGACAAACCCTCTTAGATGTGGATAACTGACGGGGCATATTTTAACCCGAAGCACAATCTTTTTCTAAACCTAACCAACTAAAAACAAGGAAATATTCTAGGAAATATTCAAGCCTCCCTACATCTTCTGCAGTTTTTTTCGTCCCAACACGGAGGCTTTTAGTTGTATTTATATGGTACATTGCTATTTCACACTCTCTACAAGAACTAGCTGCAAGTCCTCACCATTCCACCGCTGAAACCATCTCATCATCTGGTTGGTTTCCTACAACGTGATCGATAAAGTCCAGGTTTCCACTTGGGCTGCACGGAGGGGAAAAACAAACAAATAATTCAGTCAGCTGTGATTCAGACAGAAATACACATTATCAGTTTACAAAAACATCACATCCGGAATAATTTCTGTTTACTCACAGTTTGTCGAGTAAGGGGTCCTTGAACAGAGGAGGATGGAACCCAGGCAGAAACAATCCACTGTATCCTGTCCTCTCCACAAATGTGTGAGTGGTGTCACCATACTGAAGGAAACAAAAGCAAATCCAAAATCCTGGATTTTCTGATGTTTCCAACTTTTTTCATAAATCCCTGAATCATGGTATATAAAATATTCACTATAAATATACAACACTTACAGTTTGCAGCACAGCCAGCCTGACTTTACCATATTTGTCCTCCAGAGTGTAGGGTTCCTTTATAATGACTGCCCCTCGCGCCCGGGCTTTCTGTTTGGGAAATAATGTTAATTATGGAAGCAATAGCTTTTTCAGTTACTAACATGATGCATCTGTAAAATAAAAGCTGAACCATTACCTGCACGAGAAAGTCACAGTCCTCCACTGTAAATGCAATGTCCTTCACTCCGTCCCCATGCTTAACCAAATGATCCCCCATCTCTGAAAACATGACAAGAACAGACATTTTCTTCAGCTTAAATGAACATATGATTCACAGGTTTCTTAAAACTCTTTTACATTTTTGTGATTTATAATGAATGTGTACTAAAAGGGATTGTTTTGAGTGGGACTTTCACCAAAGCATATCAAGATAATATGTTTTCAACAATTTCTTCTTTCCTTGCTTATTCAAATCGATCATAGGGGTCAGTCATGGCACCGATATTCTTACCACAGACTAGTCTAAATATATTTCATAGACATGGAACTGCAAAAAGTCTGGCAAAAGAAAGAATGCACAAAATAGTATAGTAGTATATATATCTAAAAATGTAACAGAAGTGTAGACATGTTACAAATGAACCTGTTAAAGTCAAAAGTAATTGTGACCACTACAGGAACCCAGCTCCTTATCAGTGCTGTACCTTTGTTTCCAGGATTGAGGGCAGATGAGAACACGTAAATGATCTGTGAAATACAGAGTGAACACATCGACATGATTAAACTCCTGCCTCTGTGCATCTTTAGCTTTCACTTGAGTCTAGGTGTATTTTGTTACAATTAACATCACTCAACAAATCTACACATTGTAAGAAAACATTTTTAGGTGCTTTAAACTGATTTCCCCTCTTGTGGGCTGCGGGCACTGAGTGCTCTTTACCTTGCCTTGTTTGACTACATGTGACACCACTTCACGACTGCCCGTCTCCAAACCTTGGTAAGCCACAGGCTCAAATCCAAGCTTGTTGCAGTAATACGATGCAGCCTGTTGGAGACAAACAAAAACGTGAGCAAAGAGGGAACCGATTCACAGTCTGCTGAAACTGGGCATGTTTGCAGCAGACTGGCTTTAGCGCCATCTCCTGGTGACGAATTTTGATGGTGTTTGTGCAGCAGGGGTTCTGGGAGGTGGGAAAATGAGTATGTGGTCTGGTGTTCTGTGTGCTGCGTTCCCTCCACCCCTTTGAATGACCAATAAAACAGCTAAAAGAAAAGTAGAAAGCTGGAACTAACTTACCTGCTTTGCATTTCCAACCCAGAATGTTAAGTGATCAAAGCAGAGGAATCTGCCCTGCTCATGCTGAAGACAAAAAGAAATAACAAAAATCAGTCACATATGCAAGTTTAAAAAAAAATCTAATAATACCAAAACCAGCTTGCAGTCAATGATTAAATCATCTCTGCAGTGCACACACGAATCAGTCATTTACCTTCTCGCCTTTGTCTGTGTATGTTGTCTGCAATTAAAAGTAACACACCAAAACTTACTACTTACAGAAAAAGAACTGCTTTTTTGGCATAACCAATATTATCTCCATGCAAACACAAATTCTCAGAGCGACCTGAGATAGGAGAAAGAAGCCATTTGAGAGGATTCATCAGCGAAGAGCAACTCACCATCTTTGCTGGAGGTGATGAGACCTGACAGTCCGAATGAAATCTGTGGCGAACGTCTGAATTTAAAAGCCGGGCAGGAAGTGTTTAAACCCACTCCCACCAATGGGGTGGAGAGATTGGAGGAGGAGAGCGTGCTGATGCTTTGCGCACTTTTGC